TTTTAGTTGTCCAGATCATTTTTTTCTATTTTTTAGTGGAGACGGGGGTCTCGCTCTTGCTCAGGCTGGTCTCAAACTCCTGACCTTGAGCGATCCCGCCTCGGCCTCCCAGAGTGCCGGGATTACAGGCGTGAGCCACCGCGCCTGCCCCCCATTTGGTTTTAAAATAGTAAAAGCCGGATAATTTAGTAATTGATGTTAAAATACAATAGTTATAGTTGTAACTGGTTGATATTTAACAGTTAATTTTGTCTGTATAATCTAATTATAGAGAGTAGCCATTAAATCAAATTTTTATGAAGTTAAGGAAGAGGACCTTAACCTTGCTCTTGCTCAGGCTGGTCTCAAACTCCTGAGCTCAAGCAATCCTCCCACCTTGGCCTCCCAGAGTGCTAGGATTATAGGCGTGATCCACTATGCCTGGCCAGCTAATATGATTCTTAACTATGGTATCTCCCCTTTTTTGGTTACTAACACTTGCTCTTGACCTCTCAGGCATATGGATAACCTTGCAATCTAATTCAGCTATGATTTAAATGTTTTTATTAGAATTATCTTTCTTCTAAGTGTAAAACAGTATATTTCTCCACCCTATGTTTGGGAAGACTATCATTTACTTTAGAACTAACTAAACAAAAATCACTGTAGGAAGCAGACTGCCAGGTTAAGCAGGCCTGTATCACTTTTCTTTAATTGACAAATAGTAATTGTATATTTTTATGGGGTGTAGTGTAATATTTTGATGTATGTATACATTGTAGAATGATTAAACTAAGCTAATTAACATATATCATCTCATATACTTATTTTTTGTGGTAGGAGCATTTGAATTTTACTTTATTAGCAATTTCGAAATATATAATATATTATTGTTAACTATAGTCACCATGCTGTGCAGTAGGTCTCAAAAATTATTCCTAGGCCAGGTGCAGTGGCTCACACCTGTAATCCTAGCACTTTGAGAGGCCAATGAGGTAAGATCACTTGCGGCCAGAAGTTCAAGATCAGCCTGAGCAACATAGCGAGACCCTGTCTTTACGAAAAATAGAAAAATTAGCCAGGAATAATGACACACACCAGTAGTCCCAGCCTCTTGGGAGGCTGGGGCAGAAGGATCACTTGAGCCCAGGAGTTTGAGGTTGCAGGTAGCTGTGATGATGCTACTGCACTCTAGCCCAGGCAACAGAGTAAGACCCTGTCTCAAAAAAAAAAAAAAAAAATTATTCCTTCTGTCTAATTGAAATTTTGTACCCTAAGACTAACATCTCCCCATTTTCTGCCCACCCCACCCCCAGCATCTGATAACCACCATCTAATCTCTTCTATGAGTTAAGCTTTTTCAGATTCCACATATAAATGAGATCATGTGGTATTTGTCTTTCATGCCTGGCTAATTTCACTCAACATGATGAAAAGGACCTGTATGTCTTACCTAAGACAACATGGTGGAATCTGTGGTCAGGTTGTTGAAAAGAGCCAGGTTTATACCAACACTATCTTTGTCTGACTTTGAACAGTGACGCAAGTGCCACTGCTCTCAATGTGCCTTTTTTTTTTAATGATATTTTCTCTCAGCTTCCTTCAAGCAAAGGTCTGAGGTGAATATTTAGTTCATTCACAAAA